GCCACTGGGCTCTGCTTGTCGGATCTGCTGCTTCAGACACTAAAGGAGCAAAAGAGTCATATCTACAACCCTCCCATAGGGGGGAGTGGACTAGACAGATGGCAAAATTGGCCAAACAAATTATTCCATCCCTATTTATGTAACTCTCGGTATAAATTCAGGGATCACAGAAGTCAAGCCCTTCTTCACTCTCTTTCATTCAAGGCCAGCTCTGTCAATCCATCTCTTTTGATCCCTACACCCATGTGTTCCTGACCCTCATATCTCTACCCTCAGCTCCTGTCTGCTCTGCCACTATGTCTGGAAGTGGTCTGGGATCTTCTTGGGGCTGTCCTGGCTAAGGGGAGTATACTGGGAGATGCTGGGGGTGGGGGGAGCTGCTGGGTTTGTACATTCCTATGCTATGGAAAAACTATGTTCACAACTTGGAAAAAAAGTTCTTTTAGCCCCTTATTCTCTCTCTCCTTTCCCTGTCTGGGTGGGAGGGGGAGGGGATAAAGAGCATTGTTGTCATTGGTTTAATTGCTAATCCTGAGTTGAACCGTTACAGAGCCCAAGCCAGTGATCAGAGCTACAGCTCACCTGAAGGGCCTCCCAAACATTTCAACTCTCCTTGATTAACAATGACATTTATTTTGTAACCAAATGAGATCCTGCTTCAATGTTGGAGGCTTGTGATTAGTATCCAGATTTCAGCAGCTCACTAAACCTGCCAGGTATGCTAATTTAGCAAGCCCCTGTCGTTTTGAAACAGATTTTTTTTTTTCAAGAACACAATGAAAAACAGCAACATAGCACCTGGAGCTGCTGAATACCTAAGCACCTACTTATGTCGCTGGAACAGTTTGCCATTAAAAGGCCGTTTCCTTTTTAGGACTACAAGAGGCTTGTGCATATATTTTTAATATAATTTTAAGGTGAAGTTAGATTATATTCACAGTCTATTCTGGAGTTTACCTCCTTTAAACATCTCCTGGGAGAATACAGTGTTGGTGGCCAGGAGAAGACATCACTGCACTCAGGGGAAGTTCCTCATGTGATCAAGTAAGCAGCATGTGGACAAGTAGATATTTGGCAATATGAAAATATAGAGGGAAGCAAGAATGTGAGAAGTTTCTTGCAACAATCAATGTTACATGCTTAGGAAGTCAAGCAAGGCCACACTGCATTATATAGCCTGGAAAGTGTCATGGGCCCTGATTAAATCAGTGCAAGGTTTTAGGGATCACTACAGTCAATGGGAGAGACTTTCCATATATACATTTTTGTATATATATACATATATATATGTATATAAACAAGGAGGATGGGATATACATCTGACAATGGGAAATAGCCTATACTTCTATTAGGACTGAGAACTTATGTCATAAAAATAAAAACCAAGTCTTGAATGCAGTTTAACCAGAATTCAACTAGATGACCCAAGTAAAATGGAGATGGAAAAAACACACAAGTTACTCAAGTCTCATTGCTCAAAACTGGAATGTCAGTCCCAACCTCTCCATCTGGTTCCACCAGCAGATTCTGTAAACTGCTATTTTGTTTTATCTTCCTTACACTGAAATCATATTTTTCCCCTTCTCCTGACAAACGCTCAAACCTCAAGTCCTTTGCTGATTTATTCTGTTTCATTTGGAGCTATCCTAGTGTCTCATCTTCATTGCTTAAATGTTGTTTCCAAAACATCTTTCAAGCTACTTGAGATTCCCTCAGCTCCAAAAAATACTATTACAAATACAAAGTACAAAGCTGAGAGCGTATTTGAAGAGTAACCCCAAAATACACCCATCAAGTTTTGGATTAGTTTCTCCTCCCACCTTCAGTTATTTCTAGAGCAAATTTTTTCATCTTTCCCACCAGGGTTGGGAGAGGTCCTTTCCAAGATTGATTTTGTACATGCCATTGTAATAACTATTTCTCACTCACCTTGCATGAGAATTTCTGGACTGAGAATCAACATCCACAGTATGGATGTGCAGTAATTTGCAGGTCTCAAAGTTGTCTTTATTTATAGATCAAACACCCATGTAACTGAAACAGAGCCTTAAAGAGAAAAATAATCCTTGGCTACATGTAAGATTCAATGCCAAGTCCAAAACCCAAGTCAGAAGACTGTCAGATAACTGATTTGAGGATGTTCCTGGGCTTAGGGCAATCCTCCTTAGCATCAATAATAATAATAGTTATTATTATTAAGCCATCAGTGCCATTTTCACCATGACATTTGTAGCACACTCATTCAGGTTGGGCATTTAAGCAGCAGCAACTTGTTAGAAAAGGGCCTTCCAAGCTCAAGGCATCAACTGAAGCCATTGTTTGTAGTAAGGAAGAGAAGTGACAGTCCTGTTTTGAAGAGGCCCCAAAGGAAGCCTGCAGAACCTCTCATAGGAAGACCTGTGATAAGGTGACAGCTGCACCAACAGGAACATTTTTTAAAGGCCTTCAGCTCCTCACAAACTATTCATTCAACCAGTAGTAGTTCTAGCAGGCTGACACTTAGCTAGGATATCCAAAAGTTTAGCAAGGATTTGACCGTCCCCCGCTAAAAGCTTAAGTCAAGTTTTGAGACAAAAGAGGCGTTCAACTTTTAAATACAGCTCTATGAAATTTAGAAATTTTGAACCAATTGTATGAAATTAAATGCTGCTTCTCACAGTCTTTGCAGGAGCACTATTAAACTCTGTCTCAAGCTGCTGCTCCCATGAGCTCTAACACCACAGCTCAACTCAACCAGGCTCCAGAATAAACCTTAAAGGTCACTTGACAGATGAAAGCCCAGCAAGAAACACAACATAGTCCATTCACATCAGATGCAGGACAACATATGCTATGCCCCAGCAACAGCAGAGGTTAGCCTGAGCACTGCCATATTAACAAAGCTGTGCCACTGCCACCCCCGAACTAGTCCATCAGCAGAGCACCACACCATGCTGAGATGCACCTCTCCCTGTACTTTGATCCATGATGACTTTACCTTAAATCTCTCCAAACAGCCTGTGCTCAGCATCATTAAGACAATGCTTTCAAACTAGGGAGTACTGCTTTCTAAAAAGCATTGATATAAAATCATTCCCCTTCTGGACATGCTATGTAGTTATACCACGATCCAATCATTGACTTGATAGCCCAGTGTTATGCTCGGAATGTGACTCATACATGCACTGAACTAAGGGCCACTTCAAATTGCCTAGCAGACATTAAGCTCAAAGGCAACTGTTTGCTCTGATCCCAGGGTGACCGGGCTGCCCATGACTCCCCCGGAAGCTGGTCTCCAGCTCTGGTTCTTTCTGCAGTCAGAGCACCCCAAGTCCAAACCCCTTCATCATAGACTGACTGCTGGGGAAGACTGTTTCCCACTATTTCTTGTCTTACCACACAATTTTGTAAGGTATACTCAAAAAATTTACTTGAAAGGTGTACAAACAACAATTAGTTGCCTAAGTATCACAGTAGGGCAAGACCCCACACACCAGCCTTGATCCAAGAATCCCCTAAAATTGCTATTGCTCATGGCACAGTGCTTTGGTTGGGGCTGCCTGCCACACTTGCAGGTATGAGAAAGGCTCCATCCCCACCTACAGGAACAGCATTTCCTACAACATTTAGATTTAACTCTGCAACCATGAAGCTGATATTTAAACACAAACAACTAATAACTTTAATTACGGCTAGAGACATTTAGTACCTTCAATACTTCCAGAAGTTTAAGGACATAGAAAACCTTCTCACATGCTTGAGAAAAAAAAATATGAATTAGTTTAAAAAACACCTTACCTCATAAATGTTGGGGTGCCACATTTTGGTCAGGAATCTGAAGGTAGGTGGTGAATACGGATAGTCAATAGGAAATTTAATGTGAGCCTGGAAAAAAGCAAAATATTTTAGTAATGAAACAAAACAAAGAGATCAACAAGCAACCATTATGGTGAAAGCCTGGAAAAAAACAATTGCCATTAAGTCCATTAAATAATTTATTTTATATATCAGTGCCCATGTGGACACACAGTATAACTCTACAAAATTTCTTATGAGCAAAACACTAACTGAGCAAGAAACATCTAAACACCAGGCCTTACCTGGGCTGGTAATGATCAGAAAACAAGCCAAAAGGCATTTACCAAGTCCTAATTCAAGCAGCACTATCCAAAAACTGTTGTTCAACAGGGCAAAATAGATTTGAAAAGCTAGAACTTAAGATATTGTGCTGTCTTGCTAGGTCAGATACAGGCTGAAAACATTTACTAAGGTGAAAAGACCTGTTTTGCATTTGCCAGTGCAAAGATTTTTAATTACTCTTTCTGTGCGGGGGGGGGGAGGGGATTTAAATACTTGCTCAATGAAGATCCAAAGGTTTTTTTGCCTTTCTTGTTTGAGAGTTAAACTGATCCATCTGTGTTCCTAATACATTTCTTGCTACCACAAGCATTTCCCAAGTCTGAATATCATCTGTGGCTGTTTAATAATTCAGTGCAACATGATGAACTAAATACTGATGGGCGATGACAGGAAACATTACCTTCCAGCGCCTGTAAGGTCAGCAGCCAGCTGTGGGATGAGACACTCAGTTGTGGGAAGACTGCAGAGATCCCAGCACTGGATATCAACTTCTTTGTGCTGTCCCGCCATTCACAACAGTCAGAAAAGCCAGGCAGTAGGAAAGAGGGCTGAATCTGGACTGATTAAGTGCCAAAAATGCTCCCCTCTGAAAGGAGGACTTGCACACCACTTTCTGCACTGTGGAGCACAGACCCTTCCCTTGGCACTGCTCAACCCACCAAAAATGTTCCACCAGTCTAGCATGGCATCTCCAGAGAAGCATCTCCTGGCACCTGCACCACAACAAGGCTCACATGCAACTGAGAATGCAAGAAGAGATCCAAAAAGCAGGTCACATACAGCAAGAGCAGAATCCTGGGTCACCCTCTTCTACTTAAGCATCTAACCATGCCACTTGGATGCAGGGTGCTGACCTTGTTCAACAGGACAAGCTATAGGCAGTTTTATTTCCAGAAACATGAGCAGACAAAAAAGCCATTAAGTACCTGACTACAGTTTTACTTAGACTGGCATGTGCTTTTTCCTTGTAACCCGAATTTTATGAGGCCAGAGTGCCAGGTAGCTAGGAAAATAAGGTTTTCTGTTCACCTTTATTAAACAAATTCAGCAGCTCACATGGCTTTACATTTTGCACATGCCCTCTTGCAATACTGACTATATGTGGAGATGTTACAGCTGCACCAAGTCCTCACCTTGAAGTCATTTGCCACAGCACACTCACAACCAAAATATTTATGATCCACTTAAATAATCCTAGCCCACGATTTAAAGTCAGTTACACAAATGGCATTGCTTCAAGAGCAAGCAAATGCCTCTTGTCACCACACCACTGCAGAGGAGAGTGGCTGCTGCAGCAAGGAAATGCCTGGCTCTACAACATGCCACCCTGCACTGGGAGCAGAAGAGATATTTACCCAGGGCAGAGCAGATTCACTTCAGCTCAAGTGCTTGTATCATGTAGCTGCAGACTCCTCTGGACCACTGGGGTTTTACCAAGGAAGTCCATTCCTGTACTTACATGTAGTTTTGTGAGATCTAAGACATAAAACAGCCCAAGAACTGAAATAAAAAATGCAAGAGGCAACAAAACTCAGGACTGAGCTAGCTACAAGATTTCTTAGCAGAACACGTGCCTCCTACACAGGTACAGTTTCTAGTCAACCAAAAAAAATACTGTCAGTAGTGTACCAGCATTACCATGTTTATATCCCAAGGGTTACATCACTCTTGACTGGGCTGGGGGGCAAAAGCAGCAGCTGTCAGCCCAAATCTGCCACAGTACCAGCTCCTGCGAATATATGTTTAACAGCTGCATTAAACCAGGCAGAAGACCAGCTCTAACACTAAACATCTGCTTAAAAAAAAAGCAGATCAGACAGCACTGCTGCTGTAGTTACAAAGACAAGATATTCAACTGCTTTGGCTTTTAGTGGCTCTAAAGTACTATTGTTGTTTGAACCACAACTCAGGTTTCCTTGCATTAGGTACCATATAGACCTTATGCTTCCAATGTGGACCTAAGGTAACAGCTACTGAAGAAAAAAACCCTTCACATAGAGTCCTCATCTCCTGCAGATCACCATGAAGTCACCTCCCTGCTATAACAACCATGCTCAACTTAAAAAGCTAATTACACATGGCTAGACAAGAACCATATACAAAATGGTTATTCTTGATCATTGTTAACACACAAATGCTTAAAAAGACATATTTCAGGCCAGATGGATATACAAGAGAAAATATAACACCAAAATGAAAGTTAGCAGTGATATTTCTACCTGTTGTAGCAGGACGCTCCATCTCTCAATATGCCTGCCTCAGTTTCCCTCTATGAGTCAACTGCTTTCTGTCTTTCAATTTTGCAGGCCCAGGCCTGGAGTGGAAAGATTCCCATGAGAAAGGGAAAGGCCTAGCAAACTCTGAGCTAGTAACAACCTTGAAAGGTACAAACAGAGGCCGAGTTGACATAATTAACGCCAGCTCCTCTCGAGTGTTGAAAAACACAGAGCCCACCCCAGCCACAACCAGGCCTGAAACAGACAAAGTAAGAACGAACAGATAAACAAAAGAGTTTGCTTGGTGAGAACAGAACCTTTGTGGGTTTTCTACTGTTTTCCTTTTATTCTCCAATGAGAGATTTTTGAGGTATGACTAAATAGTTAAATGACAGCAGTCAATCCACTATATTCTATAAAAGCCTGGTCCCATCTTTGATCAGCAGACTTCCCGTACACTTTCCCAGAAGGTTGCTGGACCTTCTCCTCTCCAGCAGGGATGCCTGCCAGAGAGACTAATTCTTGATAATTATGATCCACCCAGACACCCAGCTGCAGGCAGGCAAGGGTGAGAGATATTAACTCCTTTATTGTCTTTATTAGCAAACTTAACATTAAGTAATTTTCATCATTATGTTTGTATGGAATCCTTTAAGATGGATAATTAATGTTCTAGTATAAAAATTGATAATAAATAAGTTGCTAGCATTTCAATGGTTAACCTTTATTATTTGGTCTAACTACATAAAAGTAGTAAATTTTACTGTTAAGATACCTTTGCATTCAAATTTCAACTTCTGTTCTGACCTCCCAATTTGCCTACAATTTGACTGTGCTTGTGCCTTCTACTTTAAGGAGTTAAGACCCCAGTGTTATATGCAATAAATTTTGATCTGTGCATATACATCTTGTCTGCCATCCCATCCTGTTCAGGATACCTGTTCCGATTAGTTGCCATGTCAATGACTAATATGACATCTAGATAAAACCAGAATCCTCAGTTTGCTGAAATATCTCCTGAAAGAGCCATCAAAAGGGTTCAAAACAGGTTGATTCCTCTTCAGTGTAGCACAGATATTTAAAGTACCCTTTATACTTCTGATAAAAGCAGAACCAGTCCAATCAAGCTAAGTTTGGTATATCCTTGAAATTCAAGCTTGTATCTACTTAATTGTAACCATTTACATTAAGTTTAAAGGCATATAGGGTAAGAGTAGCCATCAGGAAGAACCACTTCAGACTACTGCAGGTAAAGAGAGAAGTTTAACGAAACAAATATAAGATGAGAATACAAGCAAGGGACCTGATCATTTGAACAGAGAAAGTTGGATCTTGTAGGAAAGTCAGAGGAAACTTGTACAATTGTGTGACTAAAAGTAACTCTTAAACAGAATCATAGAGAATGGTTGGAAGGGACCTTAAATATCATCTAGTTCCAACCTCTCTGTCATGATCAGGGACATCTCCAACTAGAGCAGGTTGCTCCAAGCCCCATCCAACCTCCCTTCAACACTTCCAGGGATGGGGCAGCCACAACTCCTCTAGGAAACCTGGGCCAGTGCCTCCCCCCCCTTACACTAAATAATTTATTCCTAACATCCAATCTCCCCTCTTCCAGTTTGAAGCCATTACCCCTCATCTTATCACTCCATGCCCTTGTAAAAAGTCCCTCTCCAAGTTTTCTGTAGCCCCTTCGGGTACTGGAAGGTGCTCTAAGGTCTCCTGGGAGCCTGATCTCCTACAACAAGGTGATCAACCTAGTGGATGAGGGAAGAGCTGTGGACATTGTCTATTTGGACTTGAGTAAAGCCTTTGACACTGTCTCCCACAGCATTCTCCTTCAGAAACTTGTGGCACTGGGCTTGGATAAATACACTCTGTGCTGGATAAAAAACTGGCTGGATGGCTGGGCTCAAAGAGTGGTAGTTACAGAGTTACATCTGGCCGGTGTCCGGTCACAAGTGGTGTTCCCCAGGGTTCAGTACTGTGGTCTGTTCTCTTTAATATCTTTATTAAAAACCTGGATGAGGGGACTGAGTGCACCCTCAGTAAGTTTGCAGATGACACCAAGCTAGGTGGGTGTGTTGATCTGCTAGAGGGTAGGGAAGCTCTACAGTGGGACCTAGACAGGTTAGATCAGTGAGCCAAGGTTAATTGTATGGGGTTCGACAAAGCCAAGTGCCGGGTCCTGCACTTGGGCCATAACAACCCCATGGTAAGCTACAGATTTGGTGATATGTGTGGTTGGAAAGGGACCTGGGGGTATTGATTGACAGTCGACTAGATATGAATCAGCAGTGCATGCAGGTGGCTAAGAAGGCCAGTGGCATCCTGGCTTGTATTAGGAACACTGTGACCAGTAGGAATAGGGGGGTGATCGTCCCCCTGTACTCAGCACTTGTGAGGCCACACCTTGAATATTATTATGCTTACCTGATGATCTTAAAGGTCTTTTCCATCCTTGGTGATTCTGTGATTCTGTGTCCAGAAAAGGGCAACGAGACCTGTGAAGGGCCTAGAGCACAAGCACTATGA